GTTGGAATGTCCATTCATGTTCACTAAAATGTTCTTGGGCCACGGTAAACTTTCCTATCAATTTGAAGCGTTGATCCACCAAAATCAGAGGTGTTTTGCAGGATGCACGGAAGTGGGATTTAGGCAGTCTCCGATGACTATGATGACGACTACGGGTTTTAATTTTGACAGTTGTCTTGACGCTTGAACGACTTCTACCTGGTTAAAGTTTGTGCCCGTTTCCATCCCAAATTTTATTTTACCTCATTTTTTTATATAAAATTTATAAATATTTTAAATTTTATTTTCTTCCTCCAATTTATTTAATTTTTATTTTTTATATTGTTTTCTTCCAGATTTACATACTATGTGTTATATCTAATGCGTGTGCCTATAAGAACGAATGACTTGGTAATGGATTTAGTGATTTAGCTGCGTGAGAGTATTAGTTCCAGTAAAGAAGCAAAAAACAAAAAACAAAAAAGAACTTAAAAATCATATCACCCAATTTCCTCAATAATGGCGTACATACCACATTAGTTAATATGTATTTCAAGCGAATTTTTATTTTTTAAGACAAAACTCGGACTTCTTCTATAGTTGACATACATATGTACGTTCTTAGTACGTCTTTCATTTTCAATTGCTTATTCTAATATTTAGTTTTTTATTAAGTTTACTTTCCATACAATATGTTACTGGGTCGTTTTTTTTATTATTGTTTACTTTTATTTTACTAAATTGTGCGAAAGTTAGTTGTAATTGACAATTCATTTTATATAAGTATTTAGTTACTTGCTATCAAAAGCTAGCCAAATAGTTATATGAATGAAGTTGATTATCCAGTTTTCTGAAATATGTACTTCCTTCATGTTCTCAAACACAGTGCAACACATACATATTTTCGGAGATAAAACCAAATCACATATGATTGATATGATATAATTAGTAACAAAAGGTGGTTTATCCACAAGACAGTGACCCTCAATTTGTTGCATATTGTTAGCGTCTTCCCAAAATGATATACATTTTGAAAATATACTGAGGTTCTATTAAAAGGGACTCTTAGTTTAAGGCATTATTTATGAGAGCCTTAGACCGCGCTATTTTATATTAATTTAAGTCGCAACACACAGCGTTTTATAGTTTTTACCATTTCTAGCTGAACTTGCATGCATTTGTTTAGTGTTTTTAATTTTCGACATCCTACTACATTTTGTCACCTAGAAAATGGTGACGATGTTGAGAACAAATGTGGCGCCCATCTCGGTATCGCTATTCCGATCACAGTGACAGCATCGCTGCTTGTATGACGTCACACTTTTGCAATTTGTTTTCGTTGTTCTTGCAAATTTTTTTCTTCTTCCATTCTTGCTCGCGTTTTGGCATTTCTGGCTCTCGCAAATGCACCAGTGTGACGTCACACAAAATTATTCTCAAAACTCCTCTCTGATGGGCGCATTCTTGTATTCTATCATTCTTGGTAAATGGTAATGTAAATCAGAATGTGTGCTACAATAATATAAATTACAGTTATTCAACAGTTATACTACTACATAGTATATCAGTCTAGATTGAAATATGTTTACCTGCAAAATATTTTATGTTTGAATATCCCTGCGTTATGCTTTGTATACGTCTTGATGGCGCTTATTTCATTTAAGTTTCATTATGGTTTAGAAATTTTTTTTTTTTTTTATTCAGGCCGATTCTGCAATTCACTTCTGAGTGAATTTCAACCCCTGCCAATTTGAATTCATAGGGGATTTCATTGAAATTCACTCGTACGTGAATTGCAGAACCTGCCTGAATATTTAATTTTGGTTTTTAAAAATTTATTACTGAATCTTATCATCTTTAATTTTTTTCCAATTGTTTTTGAATTCTAAAGCTTAGTATCCAGATAAAGAAAAAGCTCAAAAAATATTTTTCATTCTTTTTGTCGATTGAAATAATAGCAGTCAAGTTAAGGGTCGCCTGGAGTTCTCAAGAAAAAGTGCTCGGCGGTTGCTGTAAATTTTTTTGAATAAATAAATACACGACCATTTTTTGCTTGAGCGCTGCATAATTATTTATAGAAGAAATTTTCGTTTCCATTTTTTGTCCGTCATTTTATATGAATTTTTCAATTTTCTTGAGAGCTGCAATATGCCTTAAAAAAATAAAAAAACGTTGTACAAAATGTAAGACATTTCTTGTGAGTTGCAGATTAGTTTAAAAAATTTTGATAGCAAATTAATTTTTCATTTCTTAAGCGTTTTTAAATGAAAATTTTTGCTTTTCTTGAAGGCTGGATACTAAGCTTAAATGATAAAAAATTGCTCATTTGAGGCATATTTTGTCTTATTTAAAAACCAAAATTTTTTTTCTTTTGATACGTTTTAACCTTAAATTGTAGTATATTTTATATCTATAGACACATACTTTAATATGAATTAAACTTTTTGTAACTTAAAAGTCCACAAAGTCAATAAATCAATGGAGTACAACTGCTGCAAGATGTATCAAATTAATTCAACAATACAATAAAATCAAAAGAGTCACAACTCAAAATAATACGTTCGTCAGAGAATGCGAAAAACTATTTCGTAGCTAATCATATGGGTAAGGGCGACTTTACCTTAGTTTTTTTTTCATGAATTATAACAAAAACTTGCTCAAGCTTTTGCTAAAAGGTAAATAAAAGCTCTGTGTACATTTTTAGCGCAAAGTTTCAAAAATGCCAAATTTTGAGTTGTGACTCTTTTGAAGACAGTGTGCGATATATGTAATTGCTTTACTTTAGGTACAAACACTTCACCACCTCTTGGAAGACATATAAGTTATGTATAACTGCAGCTTCGTTTATTTATTTACATTTCGACCGCAATCTGAGTTCATCTTCAGGAACTGTTAATTGTATCTTTTCGACACAAAAATAAATAAACTAAAACCTGAGTGGTATGGATTTTCTGGCTCTCAAGCTTAAAAAATAAAAATGATCACAGTTTATAAAAATAAAAAGTTTGTATTTTGGGGTAATATAGCCAATTCGCGTTCTAGCTGTCGTATCGCCCCTGCCAAAGCACAAAAGCAGCTAGGTGAGCAAAGCAGCAAAGTGAATCAGTCTCGTAGCATTTTACCCATGACTGTAGAAAAGGCCCTTTGTATCCCAATAGATAATTTCAATAGCTTAAAGCTCTGCCAAAAGCCTTCTTGAGAGCGGTCTTGACCCAAACCGACAAACAGTTGTAGTGCCAAATAAGAAGAAGAAGTGGTTAAACCTCTTACAATGACTTCACTTAAGAAAACTTACTATCTACATAAATTATCTTCTGGTATACGCACATGCGCGGCCGTTCATAATAAATGTGGAATAGATCTATTTACTTTTGGCCAAGTGCGTTAGCTTCTTCAAAGCGACGCTGGGCCGGTCCGGAAGGTTGACGTAATATTCACCTTAAATTTTCAATCGAAACGGGTCGGATAATGCAAAGGAGTTCGCTTTCTCACAGTTATCCTTTGGCGATTACAGCGTCAATCATGAAGAAGAAGAATTCTTTCCCACGATCTTTATTTGTATTCTCCTTTTTTGTAATAAACAACTTAATTTGCACATTTTTATTTGTAAAATGATCTTAGTTTTATTCTCAGTACCGATTCTTATATTTTTCTCTATCTTAATCAGGGACCGAGAACAAAAGGTGTGATCGAAACTAAAAGTCGTTCTCGTAGTTTTGTTCCCAAGAATGCTTAACAATTGAAACCGAAATGAGAATAAAACCTTCGGGAGTTTTTTTTACAAAACCGAAAGTGAAGTATATATGTAAGAACAAACCCCTGTGGAATGTCCCTAAAGAAAACAAAACATTTCTAGAAGAGCAAAATGGCAACAAATGTCTCCGGATCCTTCTAGCAAAGAATAAACTGTAACAAAAGTCTAAGGAAACAAATCTTCTCTGAACTGTTCGCGAAGAATGGAAGCGAGAACAACATTTTTCTCATAGCGTTCCATTAATTCGGAAGGTTTGAAGAATAAATCAAAAAAGAATGTAAAGATAATTATGCAAACTAAGTCACCGAAAGACTTAAGACACGAACTTTTCTATCACAGAAAATTGAAACTTTTCCATACATGGACAGTTCACCCTAATTATAAACGATCTGGAAATTGAAATGTTCCTGCTTTCCTCTGCCTTTGAATTAACAATCATGTTCCTCACTGAAACGATTTTTGATCCTAACACACAGGCGCCCCTCTGTTAGGGTTTTCGTTTTGTTCTCTAGCGGAACGTTCCCAGACTTTTGTTCTTATTTGATCCATTTTGAAAACGTTCTCAATACTTTCGCTCTCATTTTGTTCTCATTGCAAACGTTTCCGAAAGTTTCGTTCTCATTCTGTTCTTCTTGGTTTTGTTCTCATTTTGTTTACGTTCTGCTTTCAAAACTTTTGTATCCGTTTGGTTCTTTTGTGCGAACGTTCTTGACATTACATCTCACGTAGATTTGAACCAAAACCGGAGCGCGTTCTCGGTCCCTGATCTTAATCTGTATCCTTATCTTTATATATCTATATTTATCTTTATCTTCATCTTCTTTTTCTCTGTTTTTTGTGTTGACCATCTTCATCTCTCCATAACCTATATCCTATTTTTATATTTGTCTTCACCTTTGGCTACATCTTTACCTTGGCCTTTGTCTTTAGCTCTGTTGTTATCCTTACACTATCCTTGGCTTAGCCGTTCAGTCTACGCATGCGCTATATGCCACCGTTATCGTGGCGTGGCGTTAAATTATTTAACGCAAACATCTCTGTACTACATTACGAAGTTTCACTTCCGAAAAATCTCGCGCTAACGCGCTTTTAATGAGCGTCAATCACAAATGCAGTGATGCAGCTTGCTCATGCAGTTAGTCTACCGACAAATAGTTTTTCAAGTTGCATCAAGCGATATTAAAAAAATTACGGACTTATTGATTCATACTCGTACGTTAAAAAAAATATATAAATTGAATTTAGTTAAAACTGCGAAGGATTGAATTTATCATCGAAAGCACACTATGTATGTATGTACGTACAGTGACCGCACTTTTATGCAGTCGAGTAAACCGTAACATTTACACTATTCTTAGTATCTATTATGAGTAGAATGTAGGACGACGAGTTATATGCATAGTAAGTCACTAAAATACGTAAATAAACATAGAAATTTAAATATTTATACATAAATAGTTGCATACAATAGTTAAATCAATAAATACGCAGATAAGTTTTACAGCAGAAAAACAACAAAATAATAAATTTTCAAGGTCACACATGTACATGCATACATAGTACTTATGGCGTTTGAGCCAACAAAGGCATCGCAAGAAGCTCATCATTAAACCCGCTATTAATCTTAAGTTAACTACATTTTCTGCTATAGACAGTGTTGCCAGATTTTGTTTTTACTAAATTTCCGGAAAAGTGTGTCTTTTTTCGACCAAAAAACTGTAACCTACAAAAATGAATAAAAATAAAATAATAATTTAAAATTAAAAATAATAAAATAACATAAGCCGTTTTAATTGTACTTAAGGGCCAATCCATTGTGACAGGTGGGACATTTGACTCCAAAATGTGATGAATTGTTATTAACATTTGTATAACTATGGCGTCGGAACTTATACAACAGTGAAACATATTTTTGAGCATAGATAAACAACTAATGTATGAAAATCTTTTAAAAATATCAATAAATTTTTAAGTTCTTTGTAACTATTATTTGTATGAATGTAACTGGTGGGACACTGAAAATCCCATTATTTTACCTTTGTGCACTCAAAATGAATTTTATCGCTTCAAGACAGATTTTTATGTGTTGTAAAATAAATACAATACGCTTTTGTTTTCAAAAAAATAATGGCATAACCATCATAAAACTTGTTAGCAAAAAAAAAAATTTATTTAGCTGTTCTTTACTCTTTTTTTGTCCATTTGGCTGGATTGCTGAAAAAATTCTGGCAGCACTGAAAATAATTCCAAGTTCTTCACTTGTGTATCGCTCCATTGCTTATTGTCAATTGATTCTATATCTGTCTACAGCATAGATATCAAAGCACAATGCCATTTTACGATGTTTACCAAAAAAATTATAGCACATTCACATTATGACATTACTTTTGCGTCACTTTGTTTATCTATGAAGTAAAAGTTTCTACAGATAAAAATATTTTTTTTTAAATATTTTTCAATAGATTAATGAAAAATGTATAATCATTTAGCTATAGGTTAGTACTGAAAAAGGATAATATTGGAATTTTTAAATTTATGTCGTTGTCTCTTTTTACATGGAATGACCCTTAACTAACTAAAAATATACATACTTAATAAAATGAAACATGAAAATGAAGAAGTGCAGTTTCGTTATTTTTCGTAAATTGCTTTGCTAATTTTTTTAAGCATTTGGTTCTATAGATATCTTAAATTTAGTACCCTCTGAAGCATTTTTGTTAAGAAATAGTGTGCAAATAAAACTATAATTAGTACTAGGAGCTAATTTAAAGAACTGTACGCTTATATAAAAACTGTAATTAAACTTAAAACTGTGAATCTGGCAACATTGGCTACAGCGCAACAGCTATGCTAATCCATCCTCCACAAATCGCATGCACTCACATAAATACACTCGAATACATACATACATACATAAATGCATCTAAACACACACACACACACACATGCATGCATACATACATACATATATGAAAAAATTATGTGAATTCGATCTTATAATAAAATACTGTGATACTAAATTTTACTAGTACTTCCAGCATAGCTGCATTTTATCCATTCTAAAATATTCTAAAAGCTTACATTATATATTGACGCATCGACGCATTGGCGCATAAGAAATACATACATACAAATATATGTAGTGAAAATGAAATAAATAGAACTCTTTAAAAAAAAAACCATAAGTAGAAGCTGAAGAACGATACAACGTATTGTCTGTCGTGTCTGTCTATGTCGATCTGTCGTACGGATACGGGTACGAGAATTATTAACTAAATTTGCAGCGCGCGTCGTCGGCAAAAGTAACGTAACGTAACGATTTAGTGGAAACGATTAAGAAATTGTTGAATTAGGCAAACGAAAATTGAAAAATAAAAAATCTATAAGCAAAAAATGAAATTGTATAATTATTACTATAACTTAGCTATTAACTCAACCCTTCCACTAAAGAAAAAAACAAAAAACAATTAAAAATCAAGACAATTGTAAAAGTCTCTGCAAAAAAAAGCAATTTAAAAGAAACAAAAAAACGTAAGAATTATTAAACTTTAGATTATATACATATACATACATACCTATAAATACATGTTTTATCTATTAATTAGCGATTTGCAGGCGAGAGGGTGCAATTCTTGCAAACATACATATATACCGAGAAAAAGCGTGCGCAGTCGAAAAGAGATTATTTTAAGCTAAATACACAAAATAGATTCACACACACACACACTCACATAAATGCAAAGTGTATAACAAAAATTAGAAGATAATAACAACTACAAACGGTAAAATAATTTTAAAATAATCGAAATAGTAAACAATTGTCATGCATACATATGTATACACATACATACATACATACTTAAGTACTTGCACAGACTACGCGGCGCATGCGTTGAAATAAAATAAATTAACATTTTAACATAACTGAAATGATAAATTCGAAGTGAGTATAAAGAAAAAGTAAAAGATGTAAGATGTTACTTCAAAAAATTAACTTCGTAATTTCATATATATATTTTTTTTTTGTTATCAATTCGCGATAGATTTTCGTGTTGCCCAGAGCTTTAAATTTTTTATACCCGCAACAATTCGGGTGCATTCGGCTTTACAAAGATCTGCGTACAGATCTGAGAGATATTTCTTCAAAATAAGTATATCTAGTTAGTAGGTATTACCAAAACTTTTGAAAAGAAAGCTAAGCTAATCGGGTCGTAAAGCTTCACTCCTTGTTGAACCATTTTTAATCCTTGACGAAACTCGTCAGGCACCTAGGGTTTGAATCTCCCAATTTGTCAATGTCACTAAAGAGAGGAGACCGCAGAAAGCGCAATCTGCTCCTCGACAGTGCCGGACAGTTACAGATAATGTGGAGGACTGTATCCTCCTTCTCATAGTTTTTGCAACTTCTGCAGCATCTATGGTAAGGCACTCCGAGCCGTTCTGCATGTTTGCCTATGAGGCTGTGGCTTGTTAGAGCACCAATTGTGTGAGATATATCCTCCTTATTTAGAAAATATAAGCTTCGAGACCTTTTTCGATCCCACCTAGACCAAGTTTGCCTAGAAACTCGACAGGTCATAGTTTGGATGTTTAAATTTTGTTAATGGGAGTTCTTTCGACCGTTTCGGCACCAGATAAAGTCTGAGGAAAAGACTAATTCAGCCATTGTATCTCTAGAGAGATAAGTCTGTACTACGTACTCTAATAATTTATCTAAAAACGCTGACAGGTTCAAAGTTGCGAGCGAGTAACATGAGCAAACGGGATTTCATTTCATTACATATTTGTCTGAAAATGGAACGCTTTACTTATTCCGTCTTAATACTCAACTATAATTTCTTTGATAGCATCAAACAAGGGTAAGTTTTCTTCGCTGAGATCTGTTCTAGCAGGTCCTGAATCAGACTCAGCGTAGGAGAACTGTGCCTAGACGGGGCCTAAACGGCAACACTTTTACCAGCAAATTTCTTCTTAGTAAGGTTTCTTTTAGAAGGTTATCAGAATAATACCCTTTGTATTTGGTGCAAAATGGAAAAATAATACCTGAATTCCCTTTAGGAATAAAGCACCTTGTAAGCTTTCCTGCAAGGGAAAGCTGGAGAGATACGGGTACGCTATTTGGAAACTTTGTAAAAACTTTCTATACCGACTGCTCCCAATACTAAAATGCAACTGCTGCTGGAGGTAAACTTCAGACGCTTTTCTGCTGTCTATGTAGCGACCGCAATGTTTCAGTCCGAAGACGTTATAATTCTTATAAGTAGTAGACTGGATAATTGGTGAAAAACAGCGTGAGCATCAAATCGGGGTCTGCAGTGGTAGCCATGCTGCTGTAGTTGTACTACAATGGGCAACTATGTCTGAGCGCTTAAAAATCGTTTTGTGTTTTTCCGACGTAGCACAATTCCCTTCCATTCCAGTGCGATTTTGCAGAGTGCGATTTTCGTACGAAGAGAGGGGACTTTTCTTCTCAATTGTTTACTCAGTCCAAAGTAGCACTTCTTAGCAAGAATAATTCTACGTGGTTATCAGGCCGATTCTGAACAAAAACTCCTTGGCAGTTTTCTCTCTTTTACCTTTCCTCCTATGGTGAATAAAAATCCCCTGAGGAATTTTTATATTAAATTGCAGAGTTGAGCTGTCAAAAAAGTGTCAAACAGCACTTGCGAAGTTTGAATTTTCTCCTCCCTCCTTTTCTGCGAAAATGCTACTCAGGAGAAACAAATTCGCGAAGAACAAACTCCCTGGGAGTATTCAGAATTGGGCTGTATGTTTGTAAATTGTAGAACCCATTCAAGCTAGTGAAGCTATTTACGAAATTAGTGAGCTACCCAGGGATGTAGAATTTTAGGAAGTATGTGTTTAGTTCTTGTTGTCTGCAGAGCTGTTGCTTCTATAACTTATAACTACGGTGACCATCCGTCCTTTATTATACTGATATTCCTCTTTTTTGACCAATTGTCCTGGCAACTAATTTATTTTATACAGTACGCCAAATGTTCTGCATTTATTTTAATGTCCTGTATTTGTCCCGTATTCGGGGTTCGGTATTTCGACGCCTTAAAAGCTCATTAAAATGGCATGCCTATGAACCAGTCTGAATGCCTGTGTTTCGAATCGAGGAGCACATACAGTGACCAAAATATAAATTAGGATTCTACATTTTAGCAAAGGTTCGGCTATTTTTCTTTTGTTTATTTAATGTTTATAATTTTTTTTTTTTTAAGTAAAGCTCTTTTCCTAACAAAAACCATATAAAACGAAATTTCCGACTTTGTGCAAAAACTATGAGAATTAATTCTAGAAATTTTCACCAAAATGTCAAACTTTTTAATCAGAACCTTTAGAAAAAAAATTTGGTTGCAGTTTTTTAGCTCATTAAAATTTAGTATAATAAAGTGCAGGTGCAACGTTCTGCTGCTTGTATGAAAAAAATGCGTAGCACCGTCGACAAAAACAATTTCCAAAAATTAACGGTAAGTCCTAGCTACTTAAAACTTGCACTTTATCGTACTAAAATTTATCGAAGCTTTTTTAAAAAAATTTTTGGAGTAAACATCTCGAGAAAAGATATCCTACAAATTTGTGATGTTACTAATAAAGATGTTGTTTCAGGGCTAATGCATACATCTAAGATCATTTAAGAAGGTGTTAAGATCTGTTAGCTTTTATGGAAAAAATTTGCAAAATTATTGTTTGTCCCGTATTCGACTCGCATAAATATGGTCACCGTACTCTTATAACCAATCATATTTTGCAAGATCCAGTTTATTTTTATTTTTTATTTGTCATTTGTAGACTAGCTCAGATTCTTGCAATTTGTAAGCCATAACAAATCAAAAAAACGAAAGACATACTATTTGATTTAAAAAAAAAATCAAATTACATACTTATAACAATGCAAAAAACGAAAGAAAACGAAGAAAATAAAAATCACTTAAAATTATGTAGGCTTTCAATTTTAAAAGTAAGTAATACTAACAATCATAATAACAAAAAAATTATAAAAAATATATAAGTTTAACTGCGAAAATTAAAACCCAATTCAATAAATTTAGCCATGATTTTAAATACAAAAAAGAAACAAAAAACCAAAAACCAAGTCTAACCAAAATAGTAACAAAAGCAAAGCTAAATTTGCATTAAAATTGTTTACGCAATAAATAATAAATAAATATATACATACATACATTCATAGAAACACAGAAAGCCAAGTGCACAACTGCATACGAAAGAACAATAAAAACGGTCAACCCAAAATTACATAGAGATAAATTTTAACAAATGGTTTTAAAACCCATAACCAAAGCCATTACACAAAAAAATAGTTGGCGTAATTTTAAGATTTCGAAAAATTTCTAATTACAAATGAGTTGATATCATACGCGGGTGTATTAAAAATTAAGAGGAGCATGAGAATGCAGCTGATTTAAACAAAATAAAAAAAATTAAATCGCAGAAATCAGTTGGCGCGCGCCCAAAAACCACATCTCATCGACTCATTTGTAATGCTCCCTAGTTTTTCAATTAATTATCCAAATACATATAATTAAATACATATTTATATGTAATACGTAGTCATGATTTGTAAAACAGTTTAAAACGAATACCGTAAGAAGTACTTATTGCTTAGTAAAAAACAAACAAAAAAAA